AAGTGTCGGGACAAGTGATCGCGAAAGGGCCTAAAGTAGTATGTTTGTTTTCATTACATGTCTCTATTATGGTAATGTTATTTCAGCTTGTTCTACTATTTTCAATAAGAGTGACGTATGGCATAAACGTTTGGGTTATCCTAATTCTAGCATATTGTCTTATTTGTTAAACACTCGGGCTTTTGAGTAATACTGATCAATTGTGTTTTTCGATCTTTCCTTTGATTGTTCAACTTGTAAATTAGAAAAAAGTAAAAGTCTTCCTTTTCCTGTTGTTGGTAGTCGTGCAATAAAATGCTTTGATATTATTCATAGTGATGTATGGGGAATTTCACCGGTTATTTCACAAACATTATAAGTATTTTATGACATTTTTTGATGATATAGTCGCTTCACTTGGATTTATTTTTTTCATTCTAAATCCGAGGTTTTTTCCATTTTTAAGACTTTCCTCCAATATGTTGAAACTCAATTTTCTGTCGTTATCAAAATCCTTAGATCATATTCTGGTGGAGAATACATGTCTAAAGCATTTCATGAATTTTTAAATCAAAAAGGTATTCTCTCACAACGTTCTTGTCCATATACACCTCAACAAAATGGTTTGGCGAAACGAAAGAATCGTCATCTCTTAGAAGTAACCCAAAATTTGTTACTTGAACCTTCGATTCCACCTACTTTTTGGGTTGAAGCTTTATCTATAGCTGTTTATCTCATTAATAGGTTGCGTTCTAAAATTTTACATCTTGATTCTCCTTATTATCATCTTCATCGTCAACATCCCGACTATCAATATTTGTACACGTTTGGATGTGTGTGTTTTATTCATTTGCCTTCTCATGAACGCCATAAACTTTCTACTCAATCTATTAAATGTGCATTTATGGGATATAGCTTTAGCCACAAAGGTTTTGTTTGTTATGATCCTAGTTCCAAGAAACTCTAAGTTTCTCGCAATGTTGTTTTCTTTGAAAATCAATTTTTCTTCCCAACTCATGTTCCATCATCACCCGAAGTTGCTATTCTTCCTAGTTTTGATGAATTGTCTTCCTCTATTGAACGATTCAAGCCTAGACTTGTCTACAATCGACGTCCTTCGCCATCGTCCCTTCTCGATCTAGAACCACCATCCGATCCGGCCTCACCTATTATGAGACGATCCACTAGAATTTCTCGTCCTCCAAATAGGTATGACTCTTATCATACATAATTTATTGCTGTTTTGCCCTCTATTTTGGTCCCATCTTCTTACTCACAAGCAGCTAAGCATGAATGTTGGTAAAATGCAATGAAAGAAGAGCTTTAGGCTCTTTCGGATAATCAAACTTGGGAAATTATCCCTTATCCACCTACAATTAAGCATATTGGGTGTAAATGGGTTTACTCGGTGAAACTTCACTCCGATGGGACCCCGGAACACTATAAGGCTAGATTGGTTGCTCTTGGTAATCGTCAAGAATATGAGATTAACTATGAAGAGACATTTGCTCCTATTGCCAAAATGACTATAAGTACGTACTTGTTCTTGCTATTCGTCGCTTCTCGAGGGTGGCAACTTCAACGGATGGATGTAAAAAATGCTTTCCTCCATTGTGACCTCAAAGAGGACATATACATGACGCCTCCTCTTGGTTTGTTTTCCTCTTCTACTTTGGAAGTTTGTAAGTTGAAACGTTTATTGTATAGCTTAAAACAAGCCCCCGAGCTTGGTTTGAGAAGTTTTGCTCTATTTTGCTTTAGTTTCAATTTGTACAAAGTCAATATGACTCTTCCTTTTTTCTTCATAAAACTTCCATAGGAATTGTCCTTCTTTTAGTTTATGTTGATGATATTGTTATCACTCGGAATAGACACTTTATTGATCGATCAACTTCAACAAGCACCTTCACTGATTCTTTTCATATGAAGGATCTTGGACAACTTACTTATTTCTTGGGCTTGAAAGTTCATACCGGCTCTTCTGGAATATTTTTACACTAGCATAAATACACTCAAGATTTGTTTACTTTAGCTGGTCTTCGGGATTCTTCTTATGTTGATACTCTTCTAGAAGTGAATGTTAAGTATCATATTGAAGAGGGAGAATTACTTTCCGATCCTTTATTGTATCGATAATTAGTTGGTAGCTCGAACTACCTAACTATCACTAGGCCGGACATCTCCTTTGCGGTACAACAAGTTAGTCGGTTCTACACTCTCCAAGACATCTACACTTAGCCGTTGTTCGTCGCATCATTCGTTATCCGAAAAGTACTTCTTCTCGTGGTTTATTCTTTCCTACTAGATCTCCTATAAAACTTGTTGCCTTTAATGATGCTGATTGGGTCGTTTGTCCTAATACCCATCATTCCGTCACTCTGGTTGGTGCATGTTTCTTGGCAATTATTTGATATCTTAGAAGAGTAAAAAACAAGAACGTGTCTCCAAATCTTCCACCGAATTTGAATAGCGTGCTATGTCCGTCGCATGTTCCGAGATCACTTGCCTTCGAGGATTACTAACCGAGCTTGGGTTTCATCAACATGATTCTACTCCTCTTCATGCCGATAACACAAGTGCCATTCATATTGCTACTAATCCAAGTATACCATGAGCGTACCAAACATATTGAAGTGGATTGTCATTATATTCGGGAAGCTCGTGAATACTTGTGTTGTTTCTCTTTCTCATGTTTCTACCGCCTTATAGATAATCGATATGTTTACAAAAGCTCTCTCTCGATAACGTCACCAATTCCTTGTTGACAAATTGATGCTTCTTGACCGATCAGCATCAATTTGAGGAGGGATGTTACCATATATAGATAGCATTTATTTTGATATAACCGTTGTATATTTGCTTATATTAAACATCTATAATTAGAGGTAAATCAGCCTATAATATTGTCGATAATCACTACTTAGATTGTACAGTTATAGCTTGAGGCAAATTAGCCTATAATCACTATGTACTCATCTATTTATTGAAATGAAAGAAAAGAGAAAGACATGTGGTATTCAACCAAAATTCTCTCTTTTTGTCAAGCTTTTCATTTAGGACCAACAATACCATCAAACAAAACCATACTAACAAAAAGTTGCCTCGATTGCGAAGAGAATGCTATTTTGATCGCCTCATCAATTGCCTCGTTTTATTCTTTGTCGGCACATAAAAGACCAAGTGCATTGCAAGCTTGAAAAGTTAGACAAATAATGCCGAAACTATCTTAATATGATCAAAGCTCATGAGACATTTTACATGGTTTAATAAAATTCGTAGAAAATAAAGCTCACCAACGAGTAGAATGAATATCCGCAATTCTACCAACACTTCGACCTCGAGATCTTAGACATCATTTTTTATTGCCAACAACCCATACATATACAAATGGAATTTACAAGTAATAAAGCATGCAAGTAACATAACCTATCATATTAATCTTAAACCATTATATTAGTATAGTTTCATCAATTCTAGTTTTATTCATGATCGAATGCAAATATTTCTCTTTGGAGAAAATGACAAATTATTTTTGTGGTAAATGGACTGACATTTGTTCAATTGGAGGGCCCTTAAAATGGGTTGGAAAGTAAAAAAGATGTCATATAGCCTCATATGGACAAATAAAATGATAATTAAGGTAGGCTCGAATCTTATCTATATTTTCTTTCTCCATAACCATCATAGCTTTATTTATGTCCTTGCTAACATATTTGAGTAAGTATTTTATAAATTGTCAATGTTAATGTAAGTTTTGTATCTAAAAAGTAATTCTCTATTATATAGAACAACATAGCTATTGTTAAATTATACCCCATTTTTTCATGATAAAATGTGATGGATCATCTCGATGTTTGTAAGAAACAAATCCATTATCATCAAACATTGTTGAGGACCTAAATTTTTTTAGAAAACACTTTGAACGAGTACCTAAGTTTCATATAAACATCATTCATGTTACTCGAATTATATGGAAGAACATAGCTATTATTGAATTATATCCCATTTTTCATGATAAAACATGATGGATCATCTTGAAGTTTATAAGAAACAAATCCATTATCATCAAACATTATTGTCTATGAATTTATTCGATAAAGTGCCTTCGATTGAATCAAGCAATTTATCTAATATACGATGAGAGGTTGTAATAGGGCAAATTTGACTCTCCCACCAAGACAAGAAAGAGAGAACTTCAGTCTATAGATCATAGATGCTCCAAGGTGTTCTTTTAACTAAAAAAGAGCACTACAAGTATTCACATCGATGTGTTTTTTCTCTAAAATCAATATATTTATCATGCCTTAACAAAAAGCAAAGAAAGGAAACTAAAGTAGAGAACGAGAGATATAGAAGGCAATGAATTCATTTAGCTTTTTTTCATATTTAAAAAAGCGACATAAAACAAAATGGGTGTATCCCAAAAAAGTTAAAGGAACGTCTTCTTTAAATAGGCAAGAAAAAAACTTTTTTTTTCATTTTTGTCTTTTTTTGGTAAAGGGAAAGAGATAGCTCATTTTTCCTCTTCCATTGCTAAGATGCCTAGCCTAGTAGCCAAACATTGTCTACGGTAGTAAACAAACTTGTTGAAGGTTCATGAAACTGCTTCTGTATCATGTGAAGATAGTGCAACATCCTTTTTCGAGGATGAAACATGTGACACATATTAAAAATCGATAAGAAAAACCTCTTGAACCATAATAGTTGTCAAATTCCCATACACATTTCATTACATAGATCTTATTTGATAGGCAAACCATCACTCAATGTAGATGATGATAATACGGATGAAGATGCCAATTTGAAATCATATGCAATTACATCAAGACGTGTGGCATGACCGATGGCACATTGTGTAGATTGAACATGATGGAACATAGGGGTCCATGTAAGATGAGTGATTCTTGAGTCATGTAACACGAGCGAGACCATCCATAAGAAGATGATGTAGACATAGCGACCTTTGAGTCGAAGTTAAAGATTAAGGGAAATTGTTAGGTAAATGATCAACACTCGAATCAATGATCGAACATTTGGTTGGCGAGTGGGGGGAAGATAAGAAAAAGAAGCAAATGAGTACGAACAAATGGGATAAACTGATGAGGAAGCCTAACAATTCGAACACAATCCTAAGTAAGCATGTGTAGTTTGTTTTTTAGTATGTTTGACAATAATCATGCATTTAACAAAAAAGAGGTAAGAAGAAGAAAAACTTTTTTCAAATCCATCTCGGATAGTTTATTCGAGTTTGATGAGGTTGTGATTGTTGGATTTTTTTTAACTATTTTCTTATAAAACATCGAGCATAGTTTTTTAAATTATAAAGTTGTTGAAGTTGTTCACTTGGTCATGTTAATTTATGCTTTGATTGTTTTCTAGAACATCTTAGTTAATTTTTAATGATGGCATTAAATGGTTAAACCTATTTATCAATTGGGTTAAACCCAACTAAGGAAAATTGAAAAAAACAAAAAACAAAAAATGGGCGAGTATGATTATGTGGGGCCTCTAATATTTCTTTTAAAATCCTTCTTGAATGGTTCATTCGGGTTTTATGATGTTAAAGTTTTAATTCTTAGCATTGTTTGGCATGGAAACCATGGAGGAACAAATAATCCAAACAAGAAAGACAACCAATAGTTAAATAAGAAGGCATAATGCTGATTTCTTTGTTTATTGTTTTCATTCAATTGAGTTCTTTAACAATTTCCTAGTTAATCATCAATGTTCTTATTTAGAACTAATTCGCATAATTGAATTTTGTTATAATGTTTTTGGTAACAATAGATGCCCAAACTAAATAGATATATTTGATCAAGCAAATAAAGTCAAAAAAGGTTAACAAAAAACAAAAATCCTTCGATTTTTTGATGTCACAATAATTCTAGATCTTTTATTTTTAATCATTTTGTTCATCGGACTTGTTTTAATATATAATCTTTATTTTGTACTTATAGAGTTTCTATAACTCGTTCAACGGATTGTGCCAACTTATTTGAGATCTATTAAAATGTCTTAATTGAGTATCGATGGTAACATTAAATGGTTATGTATATTTCTTAATTAGGTTAAATTTGACTAATTAATGTAGAATAACAAAGTAATTGGGTTTTTATTGGATCCAATGTTTTTGTTGTCATTGTTGTTTAGCATGCGGTTCATGAGCAATGATCAAACCATCTCAGCGAGGACAGAAACTAACAACAAAACAAAGAAGGCATAACGTGACTAAGAAAAAAAAAACTAGGCAACCAAATGTGATGTGCAACTAAGGAAATTAACAAAAGAAATATCTTCTATATAAAAGACATAGTATGCATATAGATTAGAAAAAAAAATTGCTTAATAAAAGCAAACTCGCATGGCAAGAGTTTCATTGAGGGAGGATAGACAAAAAACAACATAAAAAAAAAAGAAGAATAAGAAAAACAACTAACAAATCAAACCTATTAATTTTGATGAAGCAATAAAGTAGTTGAACCAACGTTGGTCAAGTCCGCATAATTAAAAATCAAAGGGAGTTGGTCCAATCAATAGGGGATAAAAACAGCAATAAGCCATAATAATAATAAAAAAACTAAATCCATCAATGGTCTTTTTTAAAGCGACACAACATAAGACTAAAAATAAAGAGATAAGAACGATGAATTAGGATGAAGATAAAATGGTAAAAGAAAGAAATGGTCAATGAGGAAGAAAAGGAGCGAACGGAATGCAAGAAAAATCCATCAAAAAAACCAAACTAAGAGGCAAAAAATAGTTTTTTTGGTGTCTTCCAAAAAAGGCAATTTATTTTGATATGTAGGAGGCCATTACTTGAAGCTTGCAAGCAACAGTAAAAATGAAAAAAAAATAAAGAAAGCGAGTGAACAAACCTAACCTATTAACTTTAATGAAGCAATAATGGCGACAAAGGTGGAGAAGGTCGAACCTACCTAATTAAAAATTAAAGGGAGTCTGGTTAAATTAGGGGGGGAAGCATCGATAAGCAATAGAAAAAAAAAGGGAAACTAACTTTATAAATGGTTCTAAAAAAGAGATAGAATGTAGGATTGAAAATGAAGAGATGAGAATGCCGAGAAGGGATGAAGATCAAATGGCCAAACAAAAGAATGGACAATGAGTAATAAAAGATGCATAACTCAATACAAGCAAATACCCGTAAAAAAATAAAATAGAGCAAAAAAAAGGTGTTCTTCTCGTGCCTAAAGGCATGAAGCAAGTGAAGCATGTTGCTATGAACCACGAATGGGAAAACAATAATGAAATTAAAAAATGCTAAAAAAAATTTCTAAGACAGCTTAAGGAAGGACAATCCATAATCTTGCCTTATATTCAATCCTCGCATAACAAATACATAATAGGTAAAAACACATAGTCCCATATAACATCATGTTTTTTTTTTCATTAAAATAAAAAATAAATAAGAGACAACAATGCAAAGGGCTAGAAAAAAAACACAAAACAAAACAACCTATTAGAAAAAACTAGGAAATAGAAGGCAAACTAACAAAGGAGATGAAAGAAAACAAACCAACATGTCCTTATATTCAAACCTTGCATAATAAATACATATCCATTGATGGTCATTCAGTTTATTTAATGTAAAATCACATGAACCAAAAAGTTTTTTAGGTAAATTATAATTAGAGAAACTATGACAGAGAAGGTCATATGAATTGCAACACCAAACGATAAGCTATTTCCTTAAACAACAAATGCCGCAAACCAACCAATGAAAGAAGTAAAAAATACGGATCAACTAAGATGAACGAAATAGCAGAAGAAGTAGAAACAATACTAAAAAAAAAATATAGGTAAAAACATATAATCCCATATAATATTTTATTTTTTTAATCATAAACAAATTGGGAAGAGAGAAGGCAAACCGACAAAAGGAGATGAAGTCAAAGTGAGCTAGTTCAATCAACAAGGGATAAAAGCAACGAATAAGCAATAATAATAATAATAAAAAAACTAATTCCATCAATGGTCATTTTAAAAGTGACATAGCACAGGACTAAAAAATAAAGAGAAGATAACAAGTGAGCAACGATGAAGATAAAATGGCAAAAGAAAGGAATGGCCAATGAGGAAGAAAAGGAGCGAACGGAATGTAAGAAAAATCCATCAAAAAAACCAAACTAAGGGGCAAAGATTAGTTTTTTTGGTGCTTTTCAAAAAAGGCAATTTTTTTTGCTCTATAAGAGGAAATTATCTCAAGCCCTCAAACAACAACAAAGAAGGAAAAAAAGAAGATAGTGAACAACCCTAACTCCGTTAACTTCAAATGAAGCAACAAAGGCGACAGAGTTGGAGATTGTTGAACCCGCAAAATTAAAAATTAAAAGGACTTAGTTAGATTAGAGGGGAAAAAGGCAATGATAAGGAATAAAAACAAAAGAAAACTAACTTCGTAAATGATTCTAAAAAGAGGGACGAAATGCAAGATTGAAAATAATAAGATAAGAAGACTCATCAAGGATGAAGGTTAAAATGGCCAAATAGAAGAACGGACAATGAGTAATAATAAATACACAACACAATGTAAGCAAACAACCATAAAAAAAAAAAAGATATAGTAGAAATAAGGTGTTTTTTTTTATGGCTAAAGGCATGAAGCTAGTGAAGCATGTTGCTATGAATTATGAATGAGAAAAAAACAATGAAATTAAAAGATAAATTCATTTTCTAAAACAATTAAGGAAGGACAATCCATAATCTTGCCTTATAATTAAACCTCGCACGACAAATACACAAGCAAGTAAAAACACATAGTCCCATATAACATCATGTTTTTTTTTTCCATAAAAAACAAATCGGAGACAAAAATGCAAAGGGCTAGGGAAAAAAAAAGAACAAAACAATTGCTAGAATGAACTAGGAAGAGACAAGGAAACTAACAAAAAGAGATGAAATAAAATAAACCAATATGTCCTTATATTCAAACCTCGTATAGCACATAGATGCATTAATGGTCATTCAGTTTGTATGTAAAATCACATGAAGCAACAAAAATTTTAGGTAAATTATAAATAGAGAAACTAATACAGAGAAGGTTACATGAATTACAACACTAAAAGATAGGTTATTTTCTTAAACAACATACGTTGTTGACCAACCAATGAAAGAAATCAAAAACACCAATCCAATTAAGACGAACAAACAACGAAAAGAAATAGAAAAAATAGAAAAAAATATTTCACATGAATACAAATGAAATAAAACAAACTAAATATGTCCTTATATTCAAACCTCGCACAATAAATACGGATGCATTGATGGTCATTCGGTTTTGTATGTAAAATCAAATGAAGCAACAAAAATTTTAGGTAAATTATAAATAAAGAAACTGACATAAAGAAGGTCACATGAATTGTAACACTAAAAGATAGGTTATTTTCTTAAACAACATATGATGTAGACCAACCAATGAAAGAAATAAAAAACATATATCCAATTAAGATGAATGAACAACAAAAGAAATAGAAACAATATGAAAAAAAAATAGTAGGTAAAAAACACATAGTCTCATATTATATTTTTTTCCCTCTAAAACAAAGCAGAGACAATAATGCAAAGGGCTAGAAAAAAAAAAAGATAACAAAACAGCACCTAGTGCAAATTGTGAGGAGAGAAGACAAACCGACAAAAGGAGATGAAATCAAAAAGAGTTGGTTCGATCAATGGGGGATAAAAGTAACAATAAGCAATAAAAAAAAAAAATTCCATCCGTGGTCCTTTTAAAAGCGACACGAAGCATAGGACTAAAAATAAAGAGATGAGAACAGAGAGCAAGGATGAAGATAAAACGACAAAAGAAAGGAATGGCCAATGAAGTAGAAAAAGTTGGCAAAAGAAAGGAATGGCCAACTTGGAAGAAAAGGAGCTGAACAAAACGCAAGAAAAATCCATTAAAAAAAAAAACCAAATTAAGGAGCAAAGAGGAGTTTTTTTGGTGTCTTCCAAAAAAGGCAATTTGTTCTCTTTGTAAAGGCCATTATCCAAATCCAGATAAGCAACGATAAAAATGGAAAAAATAAAGAAGGTAGGGAACAAAATTAACCTATTAACTTTAACGAAGCAACAAAGGTGGCATAGATAGAGATGGTTGAACCACCATAATTAAAAATTAAAGGGAGCTAGTTAGATAATGTAACGCCCCGCCCTGATCATATTTCTATTATTCAAGTAGAGTACTTGGACGAAGCACGTTACGCCGACATACCCTAAACTCTAAGTACTTTTCTTATGATATTCTTAGGACTTTAACAATACATTACGTATATAACTCCTTAAGATAAAATTTACATAACATAATTAAATACATTAATAAAACATTACGGGCGATATTCAATTTCTCACGAACTCCATACCCAAATTTACGTACAAAATAAAACTTAATATATGGTGCCTCACATGAGCCGATTAGGAGGAGCCGGCCTCATCCGTACCAACTTGTCCTTTTTTTGTCAACATATAAAAAAAATAACAACGAGGTGAGTCGAAGCTCGGTAAGCGGGGTGATGCACGTGATATGCAATGTTGTTTTGACTTCCCACCATACGCATAAATTTTAATCTTGGGTACCCTAGGTATTAGCCAATCTACTCTATTTATCATCCGGGTGGTCCGCGGATCACCTTTTGCTACAACGGAATTATCTCTCGTTGTAACTACTATTAGTGAGAATCCATCATCTAACGAGTGTAAGCACATAACTTGATTTCATCCGAGATGATCCTCGGATCACCTTCTCGCTACAACGGAATTATCCCTCGTTGTAACTACTATTAGCAAAAATCCATCATTTAATAGTGCAGGCACACATCCTAGAGTACTTGGACTACTAATACCCATTTATTCCAGTTAGGTTATCAAACCTAAATGTATAAACCATTTCTCAATCAATTGACTTGTCTTAAACCACCCACTATGCACGTGATGCACGTGATGACATATTTAATCAAATTCAACCAAATTCGGGTACCAATCCTTCATTCTCATTCCATACTCACGATCCAACCCACACTCGGAATTTATCCATTGCTTACATACCAATCATGATACCCACAAGCGGGAACACAATCTCCGCTCATTAATATTGTTCATTAGTTTCATTAATATTTAAAAGAAGGTCCAAATCCATTTACTTTAATCCGAGCCCATTAACTTTATCCTAGGTCCATTGACTCTATTTAATTTCATTTTATTTAGTCCAAGCTCATTTAGTTTATTCCAAACCTATTAATTTTGTCCAAGTCTATTTTTTTTTGTTTTAGGGTTTATTACCGGGCAACTCCTAATCGAGTAAATAATTTTCTAATTTTAGAACATAATTAAATCTTACTCATTTTATTTTAGATACTAGACATATTTATTTATAACATATCCAAAAATTAGGTCTAAATACCAAGTACACAATTAATTACAAATTTTTGAAACTTAGGGAGCAATCTGCCTAGTAGTAGTTTGTCTAGAGCTATCCATACTAAATCGGGTATAACTCTTTGTATACGAATCCAATGACCAAGAACTTTTAAAGGGAGCTATTTGAAACATAGATGAACAACTTTTATTCGTTAAGTTTCACCCAGAAATCGACCTAAAATCCTTGAAAATGCACCCCAAAAGTCAGACATAATTTACTCATTATCAACACTAATTTATTAGTTCATTCCAAGCCAACTTTAAACATGTTTTAGTTCACTTAAATTTAGTCCAAGTTCAATCCAACCCATCACCACATACTTGGAAATTTTTTAAAAAATCATAACATCATAAATCATCACAACAAGGCATCCATACATAGATTTATCCCAAGCATCAAGCATATAACCATTGAAAATTATTACAACCCATGAAATAAACACTAACAAAATAACTTTAAAAAAATAATTTAAGACATTAATCAGCTAAAAAAATGGAACCTACTTACCTCTTTTAGGTTTTATTAGAATTTCCTTAGCTCTTTTCCTTTTCTTTTTCCCTTTCTCTTTTTCTTTCCTTTCCTTTCTCTCCTCACGTTTTTCTTCCTTTCTTTTCTTTCTTGCCTTTTCTCTCCCAATTTTTGGTACCTACGGGTTGCTAAAATTTTTTTCCTATTTTAACACTTGCTATATATATATATACTTACTTTCATTCAGCTATAAGTGTTAGAAATTAATGGGACAAGGTGTAAAAGTTATGGGTGAGTCATGAGGAAAGTCGGTCGCTTTGGAATCCATAATGGGTGAGTTGGCATTAAATTCATTTATTGCATTTGCTTAAGTGTCTATATAAAATTTTGACTAATTAAAATCATTAATTAACTTAATTCACGTAACTAAAACTACTTTCTTTCATAAAAATTCAGAAATTTCCATTTTTAAAATTCGGAATTTCTTTTCCCCCAAAATTTCAGCAGTGTTATCTCTTAACCCATCTATACTAAAACGTGCATAAATCTTTCTATATATATCCAAAAATTATGAACTTTTATAGAGAGCTAGTAAACACATAGAAAAAAAACTTTTATGCTTTAAGTGTTTCTCAAAAATCAATCTAATATCATCAAATAAATCTCACAAGATTCGGGCAAATTCTTCTGAAATTCCAGCAGAATGCATTTCGGAACAACCCTCACCATAATGGATATAACTCTTAATTTATAGGTCCAAAAATGATACAATTTTATACAGTTATATGCAACACATAGATGAACAACTTTCATTCTTTAAGGTTTACTCAAAAATCACCCTAAAGTGCTCAAATAATTCACACAAAACTCGGGCAGAATATAGTCCTTAAAACATTGATTTTGCATATTTGATTTCTTTAATAATTAAGCCATTAATCTTAAGCACAATAAATTTAATTTAACATAAATCACATATTTCAATTATTAATTTCTTATGATGAAATGAGAATTATACTT